ATCGGTCCGTATATTTTCATTAAAAATAATAATTCATTCCTAATTTTTGTCATTTAATCTTTATTTTTTACGAAAAATAATAAATATACGGACCGAAATCGGTCCGAATATAAAAATGAAATTTCCTATTTTCTAATATATATATACAGACCGAAGCCGGTCCGTATAGATTTCTTTAAATAATATTTTATTCATATTTTTTGTTATTTAATATTTATTTTTTTTAGAAATAATATTCAAACCGTTTTCGGTGTGAATATTATTGGTGCTTTGATACTGTGGATTCCCGCCAAATATATACGGACCGATACCGGTCCGAATATGTTCAGTAGTATATTTTGGACCACCTAAATATGTTCGGACCGATATTGGTTCGGATATTTATATATTCGGACCGATACTATTCGGTCCGTATATGTTCGGTCCGTATAAGTCATTTTTCTAGTAGTGGATGTAAATTTAGTACTAGTTATTAGTAAGCCCTCCTTCACAGCCGGTGCAAATAGACCCTTATCACAAACAGTTGAAATGGCTAGATTTAACATGCACTGATTCCATTTGTTCTATAGTGTGCACCATAAGCTAAAAAAATTATTTTTTAATTTAGATATATCTCCTGTAAAGGGACAAGTTTAAGGGCTTAGCAGTAGCTCCGCCGAGTTCAATTTAATTTACCCAATACCACTCGATTTTGGGCCAAATTTAAATTTTCATCTACTAACTATTACTCTCTTTTTATTTTAGTTTAAAAAGTTTAGTTTTTTTCAAAATCATCTATAAACTTTGAAAATCATTTCAAATTCATCTATCCAATAAATTGCCATTAGTTTATTTAACGAAATCCCATGGCATGCTTACGTGGCACATGCACTTGTAAAAAATTATACTTTAACTCCAAAAACTTCACAAAAATTTCAGTTAAATTTTATATTCAAACCATTCTACTTTCTTAAGAAGATTTTTTCTTTATTTTTTTATTTTTAATTTTGTAATAAATTTCTATGTTTTAATTTTGATTAATAACTAAAAAATTCATCATTGTCATTATTAGGATGAAATTATATTACTTTTTTTTATTTAGTTCAAAAAATTAATTTTGTTTGTATTATCTCTTTCTTAAAATAACTTTTTTTTTTCAAATTAAGAATTTGAGGATAATTTATATTTACTTATATTACCCTTAAAAAGAAAAATAAAAGATGAAGAGAAACATTTTATGATGGAATGATTAATTAAAGTAAATAGATAATAATAAGGTTAATGTAAAAATATAGATTTGTTTACCTTGAAAAATAAAAATGAAAAAATTTGAGACAAATTTGAAATTATAGAGTGATAATTATTTTGGAACAAATGGAATAAAGTTAGAATATACTCCTTACATCCCACAATAATAAGTATTTTTTTATTTAGAATTTATTTTAAAATAATAGTGATTTTTTTTATACTTTAAAGGAAATAAAATTTTTATT